AAATGATGAACATCCTAGGGTATTGAAGGCACTAATAATTAGGATTGCCATAATAATCAGGATGGCCATTTGGGGGACTCAAAAAGGAAATGAGAATAAAATTAAATTTAGGAAAATGCTTGTAATTTAAATGAGAGAAAGGCACAAAGTTTTAAAGTAAAGGCAAATAAATGTCCTTTCATCTTTGTATCAATGGAGTCTAATGCTTAACAGATTGTAGGTGCTTAATAAATTTTTCTTGATTTGAATAGAATAACTGGAAAACACTAGAATCAATTGGTAGCCACCCAGAAAAATGTAAGTTACTGAGAAGTAACCAATAAGGCTTTGGAAAAACTAAAACATAACTGAACAAATTAATTTCTTTGAACGCTAGAATGCTAAGTTACACAGATAATGGAGGGGGACATGAATATAATCTCTATCCCTCTCCTATGATTCCCATAGCAATTTTGCATTGCCCTTGTGGCACTTATACTACCAAGATTTTGAATATGTGGCCTAATTTCTTCTCTATGACTATAAGCTCCTTTAGGGGAGGGATTGTATCCTACTCACTGAAGTATACACTTAGCACTGCAAAGGATCTTAGAAGTCATTTAATCCAATTCTTCTATTTTTAAAAATAAAGAAATGGAGGGCTTGAAAGGATACATGATTTGTTCAAGTTCTCATCTTTGTATCCTCCATGGTACCTAACATTGTCCCTTTGATTTATTAGTCAATAAATACTAATTAAATGAATTCTGAATAAATGGATATATTACAAAATAAGTGAAAATTTAATTAACAACCTAAGAAAACATGGTCTATATGGCTGGCTCACTTCTTATTTTTCATTCCCTAAAATCCTAACTCTAATACAGTAATAAGGTCAGTTCTCAGAGTAATGAACTCTATCAAAATTGTTCTGATACTCACAGTTTTTCTTTTTCTCAAAAAATTCCTAAAGATGCTTCGTGGTGCCACTGGGTTTCATAAAACACAGTATGAAAACTATTTCTAGAACAAATATGTAGTTCAGATTCTGCGTAGTATACTGAACAGAAAGATGGCCCTGGAAATGTGAAGACCAGTGTCTGAACTCTGCTTCTAACACATATTGGCAATGTGACACTAGGCAAAGAACTTAATCTCTCAGGACCCCCAGTTAGCTCTATGAGACTGCAAGTTTCAGGGAAGATGCCAACCTGCATTAGGAAAGGTAGTTTTCTTAACTGGAAGTTTCCCTGCCAATGAAATTAAGGTTCAGTTTTTAAAAGTATCTAGTTAGTGGTATACTGACTGGTAATCATATCTAAATTATTCTTATCAGTAACTGCATCAGTTTGAAGAACAGATGTAGTGATAGGACTAAGAGCATTTCATTCTTTTTTTTATCATGAGCCTTGATCAAGAAAAGTAGAAATGTATTCTTCATCCTACAGAAGACAGAATAGGATGGTACTCATCACATCTAAGAAAACAAAAGTGACCAGCAAGTTGGAGTTAACTCCATAAAGTCCAATTGACTATTGGTTAGCCAATAAACTATGACAGAAATAATCAATAACTCAACAACAACAAGAAAAAAGTGTGGCTAGATATAAAGACAGCAAGAAAAAAATACTTGAAAATTAAGCTGAATGTGAGTCAGAAATAGAGTGCTGTTATGTAAAAAAAGAAATGGACATGAGATGGGGATATATAAACTGGATTATGCCATGCAAGAGTCTGGAAATAATCCTTCTATATTTGGCCTTGGCTGATGCTATCTTCAGAACTAAAATGCAGTGTCCAGCTCTGCTTTGCATATTTTTAAAGGATTTTGAGAACAAAAAGAGAGCACATAAAAAAGGAATATAAATGATGTTCCTGCAAGAGAAATTTGAAGGAGTTGAAGTTATTTATCCTGGAAAAGAAAAAGCTACCAGGATGACTATCTGCAAATGCATAGTGATTATCAAAAGAAGAATGCCCATGCCTTCTTCTCTAGCTCAATAAATAACCAAAGTCAGAAATGAGCTAAAAGGGCACCAAAAGAGAATTTGGTTAAACACGATCAATAATTATCAAGTTCTAAACTATATGCCTAATACTGTACTGGGCACAGGGCATTCCACTACAAGGAATGAAACAATCCCTACTCACAAGAAGCATACATTCTAATGGGGGAACAGCACAAGTGCACATACAAATTTATGCCATATAACTATAAAGTGAATAAACGGAAAGTATCTGTAGACAAGTTAGGTATAAGATGCCCCCAGGACATCAAGTCTGTCCCAAAAGACAATTGGTGATATGGGGCTTAAGCTCAGAAAAAAAGGCTGAGACTGAGACACAGATCTAGGAGTCATTTGCATAAAAATGACAGTTAAACACATGGGAGCTTATAAAGTTACTGAATATATAAAGGGAGAAGAGAAGACCTAGGACAGAACCTCGGGGAATGCTCACAAACAGGGAGAGTGAAACGGATGATGACCTAGCAAAGGAGCCTGGGGGTTGGTCAGACTAGTAGGCAGAGAACCAGGAGAGAATAGAGAAAAAAAAAAAAACTTTAAAAAGAGAGAGTATCCAGGATGCTGGGGTGGGTCAACAGAGTCAAATACAGGAACAAGTCAGGAAAAATGAAGACTGAACCATACCATAGGTATGATGAAACACTAAAACATACCAACAAGTTTGGTTATGAAATCACAATCCTTGGGACTTTATAAAAGTAGGATAGATAAATACCTCTTCCTCCAAGGACACAAGAACTCAGACTGACTATTTAATTATTTAATTGAAACTGCTGTCTCGAAAATTACCAATTATCTCTTGATTGTCAAATCCAACAGCCTCTTCTCAATTCTTTCTCAATCTTCTTGTCCTGGAACATTTGACATTGTTAATCGTCTTCTTGAAGTTCTCTCCTGTCTAAGTTTTTTTGGCAATGTTCTCCCTAGTTTTCTTCTTATAAATCTAATCTCTAATCAACATCCTCTACTGGATCTTAATCCAGGTCATGTCACTAAGTGTGGGTCTCTCCCAAGACTCTGGACCTCTTCTCTTGTCCCTCACTCCCATATGTTAAATTATTCTCTCTATGCAAATGATTCTCAGATCTATATATCCAGCCCTGATCCCTCTCCTGAACTCCAATCTCATACCACCAACTGCCTTTTGAACATTTCAATTGGATTTTCATCAGCATCTCAAACTCAATATGTCTAAAAGAGAACTAATTATCTTTCCCCCAAACTATCTCTTCTTCCTCTTTTCCTATTATATTTAAAGGCACTACCATCTTTCCAATTACCCAGGCTGGCAGCATCAATGTCCTCATTGAATCCTCACTCTCCCTCACCCCACATATCTAATCCGTGGTCAGATCTTATTTCGACCTTCACATCTTTCATACACAACCCCTTCTCTATGTTTATCTGCACACTGGCACTCTGACATTACCCTTCATTTACATTGTCTATACCTTGAATGTAACTATTTATTTTTATGTCTCCTTCTTTAGAATTTGAGCTTCTAGAGGGAAAAGAGCATTTTTGTTTGATTTTTTTTTTGCTTTCTCTGGACTTTCAGAATTTTGCAAAGTGCCTAGTTTTTAATAAATATTTGTTGACTGACTGATTTTTGTCAGATCACCTGAGAAAACCACGTCACATTTACCATATTAATTAACAGTGAGGATGTAGGGTGACCTCAGTACTGTAACATGAACACTCTTGCCCATACAATTCTAATATAGGGAAGGATTGTTTTATTTAGTTTTCTTTCCAAAGTGAAATTACAGTATACTACACTTCCTCTTTGTTGTTCACTGTCATCCAAAGTCATCTCTTAGGAATAAAGCTAAGGGGGCAGCTAGGTGGTGCAGTGGATAGAGCCAGCCCTGGAGTCAGGATGGACCTGAGTTCAAATCCAGCCTCAGATACATAATGCTCACTAGCTGTGTGACCCTGAGCAAGTCACTTAACACCATTGCCTAGCCAAAAAAAAAAAAAAGGAATAAAGCTAAGGAACCCAGGAACTGTCAAAGTAAGAATAGTACCATGAAAGACATTTAGATTTTTTTGTGTGTTTACCTAATGTAGTGGCAATTTGTACATGGTTTAATTGCATACAGAAAATACAATTTACCTGCTTGGGCTACTTGGAAAGATTGCGGTAGGAATCAAATGAGAAAATGAATATAAAAGAACTTTAAAAGTTATAAAACATCATGGAAATAGCAAGTATAATTTAGAAATGTATTATCGCCATTACTGTTTTATAACCTTTATCTTTTCTTATTGTATCCTATGCAACAAATGACCAACCCCACAATAAATTTAGCCAAAATTAATGTTTCAACTTTTTCATAAATTTTATGTAAGAAATGAAGGCATTAGTTCAAGAGGGAATCTCAGGGATGGGTGAGACCTTGGGAAAGCAGCTTATCATCCTTCTTCATCTTCTATACAACCTTACATTTAAACGCCCCCAGAAAGAAAAGAATCTATTTTTTTCTGTTCTATTTTTCAGACATATAAGAAAGTTTAGGTTTTTGGAGACATTGCTGCTGTTTACGTAAATGAAATTATTCTGCACTCTGGGGTGAGCTGATCACTATAGATGCTGACCTTGATGTCCTCCTTTAACTACAGAATCACATTAAATGTAAATAAATATCATTAAAATTCAACAAAAATAAGTTTACACAAGTACACAATCATGTTAAAGAAGTAAATGGTCAATCACTTAATACAGAGACTAACTGAAATCAGAGGAGCTTCCCTTGACTTTGAACACTGTCACATACATGTTTTAACAACACTTTTTATATGACTTGAAATGTTCTTCCTCAGACCAATCTGAGACCTAAGATTTTAAAATAAGTTGTATTTACATTGTGATTTTTAAAAATTGAGAGAATTCTGGCTGAAATATTTAACCAATCCACAAAATCAAAGCAGGGAAATTAATATGTAATCAGTGAATAACTGTGGGAGCACACTTGATTAAAATATAGAACTTACCTTTTTCACTTACACTCTCACTCTCAATCTCAACATCATCACAGCTTGTGTATTCTGGTGTAGAAGCCAACTCCTCTTCTGAGCTACTCAAGGAAACCTGCCGCATTTTACCACCTTTCTTTGTTTTATGAGGCTTTGGTGGTGGAGGTCTTACTGACTCAGACTGATCTGAGCTGAGGGAATCATTCCTTAACATGGTTTCCATTTTTTCACGTTTTGTTTTCCGGACAGCAGAACTGGGATCTAAGTGGTGTGGTTTCCTTAATGAGTCAGTACGCCTCATATCAGGTCTATCAATAGGGATTGGACTCCTCCGAGGGGTAGGAGGACTATGATTTGAGGTCCTCTGACGATTAGGACTGGGTCCCTGAGTCTCTCGAGTTCTTTCCATTGAATAAGAGCGCTGGTTTTCCATGGCTGCCCTGCGCTCTGATGTGGATCTTTGCCTTGATGGCCGTTCCATTCTTAGCACAGGAATCCTAGAATCTTCAAGTTCCGTATTGGCCAGTGAAACATCACTATGCCTTCGCTCGTGTCGTGCTCGGGACACCTCAGCATGGATACGCATTTGTTCTTCATAAGGCTGTGGCTTTACTGGGTAACGAGCCAAATTAGGGTCACTTCGGTAACGTGCTTGGTATTCCTCTTCCCTCCTTTGCCTTTCATATTCATCCCTATTCTCCACATCCTCATCATCTATATACTCTTTGGAACGTCTACGACTTCTCCTGTTGGAGTCCCTATAATCTACATGGTCAGGTTCTTCAAATAATTGAGGTCCATGATGAGATCTCCTTTCAGCATAATCTGAAGGAGATCTAGGCATTGCACTGTCTGATGTAGCATACTGGGAATATTCGTCTCTCTCTTCCTGTTGATCGTATCTTATATTCTGTTCTCTGGATATTGATGGGCTCCTTTTCCTAGGTAGTCAAAGAAAATAGAAGGTAAGAAGAGTGACGATCACATTTCTTTATGTCATGGTGATTCACAAAATAGAAGTAATATTAAAAATCAATCACATATCAATTCAAAAGAAGTTATGCTCTACTTTTCTGATTAAAAGACAGTCATTAATATGGAAATATGCTTTATACAATTGCACATACTTAACATATCAGATTGCTTACTGTCCCAGAGGGGGGATGGGAGAGAGGAAGGGAGAGAATTTGAAACTCAATATTTTTAAAAATGAGTGTTAAAAATTGTTTTTACATGTAATTGGGGAAAGGTAAAACATTTAAAAATAGTCATATCATAATAGAAATGTCATCAATATTAATTTCATTCAGCTGAAAGTAAGTACTTTTATAACATGATTATTGAACTATTTTTCCACTATATAGTGCTTATAGTTATGCCATTAAGTATATCATATTAACCAACTCCATTGGTCAACTGCTTCCATGTTTCCATCTACACTCTAGCTGAACCTTCTTTAATGGATTGTGTCTCCCTATTGAAAAGTTAGCTTTCAGAGCAAATACTATCTTGCTTTTCTAATTGTATCCTTAGCACTTAGCACAGTGTTTTACACACAGTAAGCAATTAATAAATGTCTTTTCATTCATTAATTCATGAGCTTCCTTCTCTAAATCTCTATTAACTTGGAAACTCTTGATTATACCCTACCTTGTATAATTCTTTAATTGTTGCATTTTGTTGGAGCTATGTGACCCTGGGCACACTGCTTAGACTCTTGGTGCCTCCTGGGTAACTCTCTAAGTCTATGGGCTGCTTAGAAGTTGCTAAACTGTACTAGTTCAAAGACTTCCTCACTAGGAGTCCCTATATCAATGAAATTACAGATCCAGACCAAAAAAACAAAATATTACATGCCCAAGTAGACTATAAAGTCCTGGGAACTAAAGATTTTTACCTTTGACTTCTTTGTACCCATGTGATATAGCAAAATCATATGTGGTGGACACTCAATAAATGCTAGTTTTGAACCTATTCCAGATTATAAATGATAATATTGATTTTTTAAAATAACATGAATCATATTGTATTTTAACATAATTTATATTGTATTTCTAGGTATGATTGACTTAACTTCATGTATAAAACTGAGCATGTTATCTTCCCTTTATACACCTGCTCTTCTTTACAACTTCTCTATTTCTAACTGTGGCACCACCACTCATTGTCAATGTCAGAAGCCTCATTATTAATGCTCCTGTTTTCCTTCACATCTCAAATTGAAGTCAGTTACGAAGTTCTGTCAATTCTATTTTGGCAGCTTGTCTCCCATCTGTTCTCTCTTCTCTAGCTGCACTGCCACAACCCTAATATAAACTCTCATTGTCACCTGCCTCCTAGGCTCTCCTTCACCCTATTCATCTTTCATACTGCTGCCAGGCTTAACTTCCATATCTATAGATCTGATCCTGTCACTCATCTGCCCAAAATATCCAATGGTTCCATATTGCCCAGTAAGTAGAATTCAAACTCCTTTGTTTGGAACTCAAGGCTGTTCAAAACCTGTCATTTCCCTATCTTCCCAGACTGTTTTTACATTGCTCTCTTCCATCTACTCCATACTGTAGCTAAACAGTCTCTGTGAACTCTTCCTGTGTCTTACTCTCTCCATGCCTTTGCTTACATTGTTCAATTCACAAAACCCTATCAAATCCCTACTATGTGCAAGACACTACTAGGTCATACAAAGACAAAAACAAAAGAATTCCAGATTTCAAGGAGTTTATACCCTTTTTCTCCCAATTAAATGCTTATCCACTACTTTTTCAACTCAAATGTCTCTTTCTCCATGAAGTCTTCTCTTCTTATCTATTGTTATGAATAATCCTCTCCTAGGATGGTTGAAATACCTTGTTTTGTGCTTCTTTAATGTACTTATCCCTAAATGGAGTTCATCAAGAGTCCAACCATGGTAGTGTTCTGTTCTGTTGAATATGTTTACTAATTACATGGAAGAAAGGTTATCGATAGCATGCTTATCCAATGTATCATTGTATATTATTGTCATTTGTATATGTGTCTTTTCTCCCTATTAGACTGTAAGCTCAATGAGGATGGGCCTCTGGTTTGCCTAAACTTTAACTGTCCATTAGAGTCTCTGCATCAGGTGCTTTGAATTTATTCATCTATTCAACAAAGATTTATCTAGTGCTTATAACTCATTGTAGACTCAGTAATGGTTTGTTAAGATTGACTATAATTAAATTTATTTAAACTAAAAATGAATTACTAAGATAGGAATCTACTGTTTAGTGACCCTCAATTACTGTTAACATTGTAAGTCAAGAATAAATTTTTCATCAGGCTTCAGAAGAAAGAAAAAAGAAGACAAAAAATATTTTTTGAAAGATTTGCTGTTTGTAATTAGATACCACGGTTGCAGAAAATGAAGAGAAATGTGACTTTCTACTCAAAGTACTTTTCTACTCAAAATATTTAAAAGTATATGACCTTACTACAGGATTTTTTAAATTGCATCTTAAGAGAAAACAATATGTATTTTCTTTCTCTTAGGCACCAGAATTTTCTTCTTATTCCTGACAAAATCAATCAATAAGCATTGATTAGACACCACATGCCAGGCACAGTTATGCACTGGGGATATGAACACAAAAATCTTATTATTCTTGTTCTCAAAAAGCTTTCATTCTATCAGGTGAAAGGACCCACTACCTTAGTACAGAACCTCATCATCCTTCACCTGGACCACTGAAGTTTTTTCCTGATTAGTGTCCTTGCTTTAAGCCTTTCCCTATTCTAACCAATCCTCCACACAGCTACAAAAAAATCTATTTTTTCTTTAAGTACAAATCTGATCATGTCATTCCCCTACTCAATAAAATCTAGTTACTCTCTGTTTCTGCTAGGACAAAATATAAACTTTTATGGCTTAGAAAACCCTTCACAACTTGACCCCAACCTTCCTTTTCAGCCTCATTTTCTAGTACTTCCCTTCCAATACTCTACAATCTACCCTAACTGGCTTTCTCTCTTCTTCTCACATTAGGCATTCCTCTCCCTTCTCTGTGCCTTCATACTGAACTAGGGTGGTAGCTATGTGAACAGAGAACAGTGGTCAGATGTAAGAAATGCCATGTTGGTAGAAACTGTAAGATTAGGAAGAATGAGGAGTTGAAGATAACATTAGGTTTATGAGGCTATGACACTAGAAGAATAGTAATGCTCTCGACAGAAATAAGGAAGTTTGGTAGAAGACGGGATTTGCAAGAAAAGATAATGACTTCTGTTTTGGACATGTTGAATCTAAGATTCTCTAAAACATCCAGTGTGAAATATCCAATAGGCAATTAGTGATTTGGGAGTCATAAAAGTGATCGGTACTATATTGGGATGTACTGGGAATATAAACCAGGGAATCAGTTGCCTAGAAATGATAGTTAAACAAGTAGCTAAAGTGGCCAAAAGATAGTGTACAGAGAAAAGGGAAAGCAGGTCCAGAGCCATGGGATACATTCACAGGATGAGAGTACGATGTGGACAATGAGCCATCAAAGGAGATTGAGAAAGTGCAGCCAAAAGAGAACAAGAAAATCAAGGAGAAGGTAGTTTTTGAGTGTCAAACATAACAGAGAGGACATGGAGGATAAGGACTGGGAATTAAGATATCTTTGGAGAGAGCAGTTTCAGTTGAATGATGAGGACAGAAGTCTGAGTAAAAATGGCTAAGAAGTGATTTTGAATACATGAAATGGAGGCAATTTGTGGACAGATTTTTTTTCCCCCAGGAGTTTGGCTGAGAAAAGGGATGAGAGATATAGGATGATAGCTTGAGGGGATGGTAGAATGTAGTGCAGATTTTTTTTAAGGATGAGGGAAATTTGAGCATGTTTGTAGGCAGCAGGGAATGAGCAATTAGAGATAGGTTGAAGATGATTATGGGGGACAGGGGAGGAGAGGAAAGAGTTGAAGAGAGGTGGATGATTAAGTAGAGCAGTCTCCTGGAGATGACTTCAAAATGCTGGACTTTCCAGTCAGTTTATTGGTCAGAAAACTGGGCTTCAAGACCTGGAGGTAGCTCTGCAACCTTAAACCAGTAACTTAACCTGGCTGGTGTCAATTTACTCAACTGTAAAATGAAATGGTGGAAGGATTAACTTTCCTTTATCTCATTATGTATCCAGCATCTAGAACAGTGAATTGTACATGCACAAAAGGAAAGATCTATGATTTTGTCAGCTTAGGGAACTCCTGGTGTAAGAAAATCCAACTTACAACTCATTTATAACTATGGAAGAGAACAAGCCTTTATCCAGCACCTATTATGTGCCAGGTCCTGTGCAGAGCACTTTAGGAATATTGTTTCATTTGATTCTCATAATAGCCTGGGAGGTAGGTGCTGTTATTATCCCCATTTTATAGTTCAGCAAAGGTGAAGTGATTTGCCCAGGGTTGCACAAGTAGTAAGTGTCTGAACTCAGGTCTTCCTGATTTCAGGACCAGTGCTCTATCCATTATGGGACCTTGTGATCCTCAAAGGGTCTGTGTTTCCCATCTTCCCATGAGCATTTTAGTGTTATTCCTGGGACAGGAATGGCTGGCAGGAGTGTCTTCATCAGGTGCCAAAAACAGACTGGATATGATGAGGAAAAAGAGAATCAAGGTTCTAAGGCAGGCCCAGTAGAAAACTGCAGCATAGCTGGGAGCTAAGATGGCAGAGTAAAAGCAGTGACTTGTTTGAACTCTCCCCCAAACCCCTCCAAACACCTGTAAAAATGGCTCTAAACAAATTCTAAAGCAGCAGAACCCACAAAAAGACAGAGTGAAACAAATTTCCAGCCTAAGACAACCTGGATGGTTGACTGGAAACATATATCACGCCGGGTGGGGGGAGGAGCACAGTTCAGCGTGGGCACACAGGTCTCAGTGAACCTGAAGCAGCCCTCAAAGGACTGAATCACAGGCAGCTGTGGTGGTTTCCAGA